GAGTGAAGTAGTTGAATAAAACAAAATGTTAAAGAAGATATTTCCCTACCCTTAGAATACAGTACTCTTTTTGAAAAGAGTCTTAGTGCTCCTGAGCTATTTCTGTGCCAGTGTCTTCCATGAGCAGAGGGGCTTGATGTCCTTTGAAACTTTGGAAGCAGAGCAGTGACTTCAGTTAGTTGCTTTGGTACAATTTAACATCTTGAAGTAAGTTTAGGATTTGTCATAATTTCTAGTTCGTTTTTGATGTCTTTTTTTAGGAAGGAAGTACAGATAAAATCATATGTTCTGCTACGCTTAGAACTATTTCAGTCTGTTTTTCTGTGGCTTACCTGTGTGGGTTCTCTGGTGACTAATAGTGTGGTTGAACACACACTGTATTTTTCTTTAGTAAGAGTACTAAATTGGGTTTCAGTCCTTCAAGCCATCAGTTTTATTTGTACAAAACCCCTAGGCATGTAGTATATTTGAAGTATAGAAATCTTTGTCATTTTGCTGAAGATGAAGTACTCTGAGGTTCGTGAAGCACTTGGATATTGTATGCCTTCCTATAAAATAAAAAACAAAAACAAAAACAAAAAACAAAAAAACAAAACAAAAACAAAAAAACAGCCAAAAAAAACCCACAAAACAAACAAACAAACAAAAAACAAAGCAAAAAAACCCAACCAACCAACCAAACAAAAAAACACAAAACCAACCTGGTATAAGTAAATCCTTTATTTTTTAATTTGTTGAGCTTTTACTTTTAAATTCACTGGAATGAAGTGTCCAGAGAAATTATTTTAATGTAGCTGCAGCTACTTTAAATTGAAATTACCTGAAGAAGAGAAAGAAGGGTTTGTTTTTTATTTAGGAAAAAGGCAGTTCACCTGTCAGGGTATCAGCAAATACAAAGGTATTAAGCAAATTGTCGTTCCAGGTAATGCAAAGAATTAATAACATAATAAACTATACTTTAACATTAAAAAAAGTAACTTTGGGGTTTGGGAAAAAGAAGTGAATTGCTAACTGATCCTCAGCTCTAGTACCCTGTATGTTTGGAAAGAAAAGCTATCATGTTATCACAGGACACACATTTTCAGAACTTACCAATCTCTTTACAACTTGGCTTCAGTTTTTCCCCTAGCTAATCAAGGCTGATAAAGAGTTGAAAATAGATTCTTGGTTTATTGTGGACTTTTTTTCTAATCCTACTTATCTTTCATTCACACACTTGTATACTTGACAGATGTTAATGAAATACTTCTTTTGAACTCAACAGATACTATTCTCTGAAAATTATCAGAACAGAGATGAATCCATTAACCATAAAAGACATTTTTTACCACTTTGATCTCTGACAATTTGGCTTTAATCCTGGTCATCACACACTGGCTTTCACTCTACATTCAGTTTATGTCTGGCTTTTGTTCCAAACTAACAGATAAAGCTGAGTGCTATTCGGTCTGAAAAATTTCAGACTGTTTATGCTAGCAGGTGATGTATGACATGATATTGGCAGAGATGTGCAAGCCAAGTGCTGGGAGAACTCAATTGTTTTGCTCTATTGATCTGGAATTTGTGTTTTCCTGTGCCACCTCGTTATTTCCCAGGTCTCTGAAGCAAAGTTGCTTGACTGCTATGAAGGACTTATCTCTACAGTAAAGAAGGTTATAGCATTGTTAATTTTTGACATTTTTTGGCTGTAGAGGTTAAAAGCTGTGAGGTGAGCTGCGTGGTTTGGACTGGTGGGTTGGCTTCCCCGGGCTTCTGACCCCGCTGGGAAGATCCCGACGGTGTGTGTCTGACCCCGTGGGCAGCCAGGCTTCACTGCTCCACTGCCTGGGATGTGCACAGGGCCTACGCTTGCCCTTCCTCCTCACGGTTTAAAATTTAAATGCATTTTCTTTACATATAATTGCAGAGGAGGACTCAAATTTAATTTTTTTTTTCCTTTAAAAATAGCTGTTCTAAAGGTAACTTTTGAATATCTAGTTAAAATGGAATGTATAGATAGTCTGGAAGGGGGCTTAGAAGTGTTGGGTTTGGGTTTGTTTTTTGTTCATTTAGGTTTTTTTCTTCATTGTTTTTGTACACTCAACTGTGAGTGGCCAAGATTTTGTTCTGGAGTGTAAGAAAGCCTGATATATTTTTTGACACTTGAAAAAAATCTGTCAGTGCAGCTTTTTGTAGTTATTGGTGTTTTGGTCTGTGTCCAAATGTTTTGGTCACTTTTTCAAGAAATAAATGATTCAAGAGATCTGGGTTATGTGAAATTGTTAGTCATTTTACAAAAAATGTTTTTACTTTGATTCAAAAATCTTCATCTCAAATTTTTTTCATCCTACTTGTTGAAATTATGAAGTACTCTGCAGATCTACTATCAATATTCACTTTATTGAAAAATAAAAAACCCCATAACTTCCGTACAAATTCTTTTTTTCTTCTTATTATTTCATTCATCATTGTGTGGAGCAGTGCACATTCCTGTCATGAGTATACACTGATGTGCAGTTTATTTGTAATCAGTTTTGTCCTTGGACCTAGAGCAGGAACTAACACTTTTTGTACCTAGTAGGGGGAATTATTCTAGATGTCATCAGTGAACAAAATAGCAATGTGTTCCTTGCTTGAGAAAACTGAGCAATTTGTTCCCCATCTTACTAAGTTTGTGTATCCTGTCTGTAGCACTTGTTCTTTACACTTTCCACACTGTTGTTCTTTACATTTTCAACTGAATGCTTCCCCCACTGTACTGAGAATTACTGCTATTATGTCTCCTGATTCATGTTTCTGGAAAGCCATACTAGTGCTGGTTAGAGAGGCATTGATCTATTACGATGAGCAGACGGAGATGTGAAGGTCATATGCAGTTCAGGAGTGAATCATAGGCCTTGATATTATGCATCTCCACAAAGAAGATGATTTACTTTGTCAATGAAAATAAAAGAAGCTAATTTATAGGCTTCTAATACTAAAAGTGTTTTTTTTTAAGGTCGTGTGCTTTTGTTCTTGCATCTAAGTTACACAGGGGGGTAAAAAATATCTTAAGCTTTAGAGGTTATGTACAGTATATCAACTTTTAAAATAAAATCTGTATTCCAAATGTGTATGTTGCAAATAAAACAGTCTCTAAGAAGTGCAGGTTGGAAGGAATCACACTAAGTTGATTTAGGCAGAATTTAGGAAGAAGAATGATCTCTCTAGTGTTTCTGTATTTAAGTGTGTCTTTACTTTCTTCAGATTTCCTTTATTCTCATTTCTGCCTGGGATATTTTGTATGTTCCTTTTGGCTTTCCTGGTCTGAATTTCAGATGCGGTCACATACTTCTTGGTGTATTTGAAGCAGTATATGGTTAGTGCAGGTCAGCCCATTTCTGCTGTCTTCCAAATGGTTCTGAAATTTAATATTCCCTTGATGGGTATCTCTCATATGTAAAGTGCTTGTTTAAAATAAGAATTAGTTTGCCTCTCAGCCTGCCTGATAGAGCTGTGGTGTGACAAATGGACCAAATGCTGGTATTGTTCAAATGATGCATCTGTGTGAGTTTGCCCTCAGTGCACAGAGCAGTCAATTCTCCAACTGCTTTTTTACTTCTCACTTTATCTTCAGTGTGTGGCCTCATGCCTTATCTGTCTCACACTATTCCAAGCTTGCCATGAACACAGACCTGTTATTTTCCTGTCAGTCATGTCTTTTGTGCTTGTTGCCGAAGTCAGAGTGACTGGACATCGTGACCTCATGAGATGCAGTAGCAGCTTGCTGTTTGTGAAACAGGGATGTGACACAGAGATGGGGTCAAAAGCGACCACTGATTTTTGGATGCTTACTGTGAGATTAGCCCAGGCCATGTAGTGCTTCAGAGGGGAAAAGCACAAGTTTAGCACTTGGGAGAGCAGGAGGAGGCAAAACTCTTTTCTGAGTAAGACCTTAGAAATAAGACAGGCATGCAAAAAGGAGACAGACACAACTGGTGGGAAAGGGTGAAATGTCGGGTTCGAGTAAAATGCCTTGTATTTCACTGATGGTCTGTGGCAGAGGCGAGTCTGGGAGCCAATTGCCAGGCTAACATTCAACTCTTTAAATAGAAGAGCCTTCACTCCCCCGTCTTCCTTGCAATCCCCTCCCACATTCACTGCATAGTTTCAAACTTCTGCAATGAGTGAAGTGGGCATCTGACAGACAACAGCCTTCTTCACATATACAGTCTTGATTCATCCCCAGAGGGAATCTGTAATGTTCACTGGATGTGGCAGATGTTCTACGGAGTGAACTTTATCAGAAACTTAATAACTATACCATAGTGCATATACTCAAAGGTTGATACCTTTTTAAGATGGAAGGGGCAGCTGAAAAACTTGATTTTTGAATCCTTAGAATCACAACCCTTAAATAACTTAATAATTCTTTCAGTATAGAGAGGGCTTCTGTCTGCAACTTCCTTGAACTTTAGTGAAAAAAAAACCAAAACCAAACCCAAACAAACAAAAAAAAACCAAACCAAACCAAACCCCAAACAAACAAAGAAAAAAACAAGACAAAAAAAACCCACCCCAAATTGAAAGCAACAAACCTTGCGGTGTTATCTGAGCTGTGATGGTTTTGAACACCAGAGTTGAAATAATCAGATCTGCTGCCCCACAGCTGTTGGAGCTAACCAGCTTCCCAAGGCTAGCTGTAATATATTATTCTCCCTGTGGATCACAACTGGAAGGAGATGTGGCTGAGTTAATGTCACTGAATTGATGTATTTGCTGGCAGCATAACAGTAGAGAGAAGTTGACACCTATCAGAGTGTATTCTTGCCTGTCCTAATATCCAAGGTCTCCCGTCTCCAGCTGCCTAGCTTAAGGCTTTCATGAATTTTTGTCACTGGATATAGGCTAGATGGTTGTCCTGAATACCTGGGCTGCTGCCATGTGATACCAGATCCACATCTGAGAGCTTTTGTTTTTTCAGATGGATCTTTGGATACAGCTGTAAACCCTTGTGTTCTTCAATATTTTTTTTTTTCTAGGTCAGACAAGCCTCCGAGAAGCTATCTCAATGTCCTGTATAACAAATGGGAGTACAGGAAGCAGGAAAACAAGCCACAGTTCCTCTGTTTCTGTTGCCAGAAAAGAAACTCTTTCATCTGCTGCAAAAAGGTACCAACCTTTTATTAAAATTGAAATGTTTTTTTTTTTTTTTCTTTGAAAAAAAATAAACAGACCAAGAGTATGATTTTTGCCTCTGCATGACCCTCAGCAGAGCTTCCTGAAGTCTAGTAAGGCACAAATAAATTTTGGAGATGTACCATGTTGTTGGGCTGCTTACAGCAGGGTTCTAAAAATAATTCATAAATGGAGAGTATTTCTATAGTGTACAGTATCCAAAATGCATTCTCACTAAGGGACAGAACAGGCAAATGTATTTCCAATGCAAATGAAAAATTTTTCCTTCTGCTATTCATCTGCATCTTTATTTTTTTTTCAGGGAAATTAAAGAACAAAACTGACTCCGTTGTCTGGAGTGTAAATAGTAGGCAATAGCAAAATAGCTATGAAACAATAGTGAATTGTGTAAGATAAAAGTTTACATTTTTATGTAGAAAACCTTAACCCAAAATATGGCCACTTAGACTTTATGAAGAATATCTGTATCGTATCTCAAATGTATAGAAATAACACTGTGTGAGTACTTGTAAGTTAAATGAGATAAGCACCAAACAATAGCTTTTATTCTTCCATGTGATGGTTTCAGTTGCATACAGTAAACAAAGTGTTTGCATAACTACTTTCTTCTATGGGTCTGTTAGATCCTAATTACATGGCTTCTTTAATCAGTAGGTTTTGCACCAATTTCTGTTTGTTGGGAAGAACCGGCTGCCCGGTACAGCGGCAGGACAGAGAATACTCTAACGTATAACAGTGGTAAATTATGTGAACATATTCTTGGCCTCTGTAGAGTACTCTGGTAACTCCAGTGGCTGGTTTGTCTTCCAGTGTGGATGTAAATACTGTGCTATACAAGACGGGAAAATGATGTACTTCAGGGAATAAAAATGCTGTATGCAAATATAAACTGTATGAGAACAAACCAGAAGAAACTTTAGTGCCCTTTGGAATTTGGAAAGCAAGGGTAATACCCCGCTCTTCGCTCTTCTCCATTGTGTAGCATTGCATATCTTTCTTTTTATTGCATCCTTATGTTTACTTTTCAACAATAAATCATAAAGTGATCACTGTATATCTCTGCTAGTGTGACAGGCACTGGGACAAAAGACATTCCTGCAGGAAGGTACTGCTTAGCACTTTTCCATTAATCTTACCCCTGCGGCTCTTGGTACTTTGACGAGAGCCAGTCCGGTTCCCGTGGTGTTCAGCTTGCGTTTGTGCTGAATCGCCGCCTTCTTGATTCATTGGCTGCTCAACACTTGACTACAGAAGAAGAGCAGAGTAAAGTGGTTGGCATCCCTTTCATCTAAGTTAAGGTCTTTAAAAGGAGACCTGGATAGGCCAAAAGAGGAAGGACTTGATATACAGAGGGCAGCTCTCCCCAGGCACCCAAATAACTGTCCAGGGGAGGTTTTGGTGCTTCTAATGCATCTGAAGATAGACGACTCCCTTCTTCAAGGCTTATTTTAGGAAGGCTTAAGTCCTTTCTCTGGTTACCTTTTCAGCAGTTCATTTCACTTTCCTGTCTTTATACATTCTTCCATTAAATTTGTTTGGTATTTGGAAGAAAACAGACTTGCCCTTTTGTAAAAGTACCAGCTCAAGAAAGGTGAAAGAAAATGTAAAATCTTGGGCTTTATGGTTGTGTTTTTTTAACAACAGCAAAAGTGTTCAGTACCAAGTAGTGTTCCTAGTAGGAGACATAAGTGAATGTCAATAGTAGTCACATTTCCATAAAGTTAGGGTAAAGTTAGTTCTGACATTCTTGTCACAGTTGAAAAGGAGGGAGGCCAAAGGAAAGAGTATCAGCTCGTCATGGGATGCTTTACCTCAAGTTATCTAGGCTTTTCCTCAGGCTGGAGGTGAACTGGTGCAGCAGGTAGACATGGTCATCTGTTGATGTAGAATTATACTTTAGTTACCAAACAGCCCCCATAACCTGCCTATAGCTTTTAACGTTCTAAATATATGTAGCCATACATCTAGTCACAGATAACAGAAGGCCTACTTATGTCTAGACTGTTACTGTTAAAGTTTAGTGTCTGTATTTTGTGCGGTCTTAACGTTGGACATTTGTGGGGCTCTGGCCTCTATAGACCTGCCATCTTTGAGAATTTCCTTTCCTGGAATGTTCAATCCTTGTTCCACCATGTTGAACACAAAGATCATGGAGAGGATCTAGTGGCTCAATAACTGCATAGCAGCAGCACGTCTCATTTCAACAATGTTATGCTAAAGCATCAGCTGTCTCTAAAAACAGAGCTCAAGAATGCATCATGAACAACAGGTAGATGATGTCCCGTTGACAGAGTTGAAGTCACACACATGTTGGGAAAATTTCAGCCCTGTAGTCTGGAACTGATCTGATAGAGATATCAAGACACTTCAGAACAAAAAGCATGCTGCATACCTTGTATTATCACTAGAGTTGGAAACATGTTTGTACTGTGTTCTGCAGATGACTGTCACAAAGACCTGCTTGATCATTTTCCTTAGGGACTAAACATTCTTCTGGAAATGTCTTCCGGTAAGAATAGCCTTCATGTTTCAGAATGACCACCCTCCAGCGTAGCTGCTAATGTGTTGTGGTCCAAAGGATGAAACATTGTGTTAAGAGAAATTAGAGAATCTGCAAAATTAAGACAGATAGTAACAGATCTCAGCTACTCACATGTAGACTGAAGAAATGCCTCATCAAGTTGGGATTTGGAAAGAATTTTTGGATGCATTAAATGACTGCTTCCCAGAACAACTAGTCTTTAGAAACCCACAAAAGTGTTGTGCTTGATTTGTTTTCAGCTGTTGTTTGAGACCTAGTTTAGGAGGTATTAGTGGGAAAGCTGCTCTGTAATAGCAGTCATAGTACAATTAAGCTGAAGATTTCAGCAGGAGAGAGCAAACAAAGTAAATTCATCACAAAAATATTCAGTACCAAGGCTGCCACACATCTACATAATTTAGTTTCACATTAAAGTGGCAGTCAAAAAAAGAAGACCATTTGCAACCTGGTGGTAGATGAAAGCACTGTGTTGGAACCCAACTTTGTGCTTCAACTTGGAGGAACCAGAGTGGTCCAGTGACTGTCATGACCCAACAGAGAAGTTAAGGAGTGAGCCTAATGGCAGAGGTGTGAAACAAATAGTCCACAACGGATAAGCTCAGTGAAGCCCTTGAAAGACATTCCCACTCTGAACCTGTGGTTTCTAGGAGATGGATCAGTTGAACTAAATGAGTTTGGGTAAGAATACAGAAAATATGAGACCGAGTTGCTAAGGTAGATGACATGCTGCTGTCAGCAGGTGGCATTCACCTGGGTGTGGTGGAGGAATACAGAGGTGATTTTCAGGATTACTGGTGTGTCATTGTAAACAGAATATTACAAAAAGTATAGGGAAAGGGACTGCAGGTAATGACCTCACTGATGAGCTCTTCTGTGCCACCATCAGAGACAGAACATCATGCCAGGTGAGCCATTGTTCTGACAAGTAGGACTAGTTTTTGCAGACTTGCAAGTTGGAGTTACAGAAGTCATTACATTTGTGTGTTTTCTCCTCCTGTGTCTGTAGATAGTATTTTAGACTGTATTTTGAAGTGCCCAAGTAGAGAGAAAGGGAAATTTGGAAGCATGTCTTCCCGAAACAGGATTTATTTTAAAAAAAAAAAAAAAGTAATAAATAAATAAATCTGTGTCCTCATAGATGAACTTCATTGTGAGAAATCTTGCATTTATGGGAGAACAAATGCAGAGGTCTATAAGTGTATCCATCAGAGTAGGAATAGAGAGACTCTTGTTTAGTGACAAGAGATTCCAGGAACTTACTTGGCTATACTGCATTTCTTGCCACAGACTGCAAAAAGATTAAGATTGAGTAGTGTGGTTTTGCATCCAGCAATGCAAGCTAAGTGTTCTGATTAAAAAAGAATAATAATGTTTATGCTTCTTGTTAATTAAGGACTTCTGGCTATAAATTATTAACCAATCCCCCACAGTTCTTCAAGCTCTGTAATCACGTATGTGCCCTCAAGAAATGTGAAAGCTCTTTCTGTTTTGTTTTCATCTGTTCTTCTGTAAAAAAAAATGTAACTTTGATGGATTATATTCACATTTTAAAGTAGTTAGTATGGTTTTCAGAAGAAATCCTGAGTGATCCTGATGAATGTATTTGAGGTTTTATATTATTGTTCATATTTTGACCTGTTCTGCAATGCTGCTTTGGAAGCATTTAGAAAAGCTAAACTCATATAAGTCTTGAGGGCTTTGTCTAAGTGGTAGATGATACACTTTAATTAAAGTAACAAATGAGACAAAAAGAGGGCCCTATGAAAGTTATGTTAAAATTGGGGGCCCGTTTTTATTTATTTATTTTTAATATTGTCTTACTGTTTTTCATTGTTTTGTGGGGAAAGGTAAATGGAAACACAAATAATTAAGATTATACAAGGGTTTGGGGGGGGAAATTGGTGTAAGGGAATAGAGATCTGGATTCTCCCCTTCAGAAAGATATTATTTTACTTATTATGTAAAATGTAACTTATTATTTTACTTTAAATCTAAGAGAAAAATCTTTCTTTTTTTCCTTTTTAGCCAGTGTTTGTATCTTGCCTTGTTTGTTTACTGAGAAACTTATCTTGTAAGAATTTTTTTAAAATCTTAAAAAATATCAAAAAATAGACTTTGTAGTACAGAATACTCTTCTCTTTCAGGTCCTGCTTTTGTCTGTGTAATTCAGAGTATTGCAAAGCATGCTACTTTATAGAAGAGCCTTTTAATTAATCTTTCTGCTTACTTAGTGGACCTTTGTTTAGGTTGTCAATGACATGTATTTAAAGCTGTTTCAAATGTTAACCTAATAAACACAGCACTATGAAAATAAGATGTATTCTTAGCTGTCTTTTACTGAAGGCATTAAAGAAGTGGCAAGACAGTCTGACGTTAGTCAGCTACAGATCAAAACAACGGTGAGTTTTCAGGGATGATTTCTTTTGAACTCTGGTGCAGGCAGGGAGAGCCCAGGGAGCAGCAGCAGCAGCATCGTACGCCTTCGGTGACAGCGCAAGGATAAGCGGTACCACATGTGCAGAAATACAGAGAGGGGTACAGTTCCATGGCGGGCTCCAGCTAATCGGAGATAGTGCAAATACACTCCTGCCTTTCGCTCGCCCTGAGCCTTGGCTGGCAGCATGGTGAAGTGGCCCCAGAGCTGAACCAGAGGATGTGGTTTTTTGTTCTGAGGGACGGCAGGCTTGTGTTGCCTCACCTTGTGTCAGCTTTGAATGCTGTAGAAGCGCCTGCAAATGAAGGACATGCTCAAATCCAAGTTGTATTCATTTTAAAATCAGAGTAAACTTAGTAAAAGTACGCAGTAAAATAAGTAAATAATCTTCCATGCCTCCCTTACCTTTTTTATTTTTGGAGCTTGTGACTAAATGTTATTTCAGCAACACGCTAACCTGAAGAGAGTGAGTAAACAAAGCATTCTTCCAGTGATTATATATAGTAAGTTTTTACATGCTTCTCCCATCTTTTCACAGAGGGCGTTTTCTCCAACCTTTTTAATTTATTTGCTTGTTCTCTTTTGTTTTCCCCCCTATGTTATACTTTATTTTACAGTGGTACAGAAAAAAAGAAGGAAAAACCTCCAGGACAGAAAGAAAAAAAAGAGGAATCTCATTCTAATGATCAAAGTCCACAAACTCAAGCATCACCTTCTCCCCAGCCCTCCTCACAGACTCTCCAAACACACAGGCAAACTCAAGAAAGCAAGAGTTCTGCTCCAGCTAAAAGGTTTTCACAGTACCACAGTACAGAACTGGAAAATGATTGTTCATATTTGACAACAAGTCATGTGAAATAGTTCCAATCTCAATCAAGTTAATGTTTGATATTTTTTGTGCTACAGAAGAGGCATTCAACATGCATTGCAACAGAGCAAATACGTAAAAATGAAATTTTTCTTTGAGTAAATTTTTAAGATTACAAAGGGGGTTTTTTCTTCTCTGTGATTGAAATCCTAATATGGTAGATTACCTCTAATCAGTAATTATTCTAAAATTTTTAACGATGACTCTAACTTGATCCTTCTCAAAATACACTTCACAGGTAGCTGAATTGTGGAGTGTATTTTGCACATGGCCATTTACTGCCTCTTGCAACAGCATTTGTTAAATACTATTATAATTGCAACTCTTCCTTTGGGAGTTCTCTTCTCAAATTATTCTATAAAGTGTCTGCAGTTTGGATTTTTTTGCAGCCCTTCCCTTTTGAATTCCTTCTAGGTTACAGGGTGGTTCACTTCACTTTTATTCTGATTCTTTACATGAGTGAAGTTGTGGTTTTACACCCGAATCATAGAACTGCTTGACTAGCGTGAATGTAGAAGTTTATTTAGGATTGCCTCCAAGTTCCCACTCATTTTAGTGGGAATTAGGCATAGAAAAAATGGTACCTTTTTTTTTTTTTTTTTTTTAAAGGCTTTTTAAAGTCAAGGAAATGGATTTGGGTGATTACTTCTGAGTTTCAAAACTGTGGATGACTCAGTGTGCAGTTTTTTTTTTTTTGGTTCATTGTCATCTTATTGTTTTGGAAGGTATGAAATTTTATTTCACTGTTTGACATTTAGGAGACTGAAACAAGCTCTTAAATAAATTAAATTTCTTCTGGAATTTACTGTAGTTCACAAGATTATGTTGTCTTGCGTTGCTCGAATTCACAGCTCTAATAAATATTTAAACCTTCACTTGACTGATGCATGTTATAACACTCCATAAAGGCTCTGTCTCCATGTCTTGCACAAACTCTTAAATTGTCTGAAGCTGAACTTGCGGCCTGTTCTCCTGCCTGGTATCTCACTATAAAGATGTTTGTCTGAAGTCTTGCTTACTAATCTTTTGCAGTGTGGGGAAAAAAATAAATGCCTTTTTTTGTCTCCTAATGGTTTAACTTGATTTGATTAACTTGTTTGTCGCAGGACCTTTCAGCCTCTTGAGGTGCTGTGGAAGGAGCTTGCCATTTCTAAGGTTGCAGTTCAGGACTTACTCCTGCAAAAAGCGTTTCTGACAGGATGAAGTATAATACTGTTAGCAGGACATGTGCAGACTCTAAATCAAGTGGTTGAACAATAATTGGGATTAGATCACTTTTAAACATGTTTTTCATGATCAAGATGTATGTGAAATTAATGAACTAGTGACTGAAAAATTTGCAGGTTCCCATTAGTATAAGTTGGCTACAATAAGATTGCTGAAAAATTGTATCAGAATTCATGGATTTAGTAGTCTGTAGTATTGGTCCAAACCTAGTTTGCCTTATTCATGCAAGAAGTTTATAGACATTTGTTGCAAAAAGATTAAAGCCAATACCGTGGTTTAGAATGTGTTATCTGCAAAACAGCCATATGAAGCTGTAATCTGATAGAACTATTCTGTCTCAGAAATCAGTGTGTTAAAACTGGTGAACAGTTAATGAGGGAAAAAAATTCTACCTTTCTTTGTTACCTTCTTAAGTGATTTTTTTTTTTTTAATTATTCTTTGAGGCTAATATACTGTAGCCTCATTTTTTTTCCACTTTTGTAATTTGTTAGCAATATCGTAATGAAGTATAGGGTTATTTTGTTCAAATCTTTATGTAAGAGCGTTTGGAAATTGAAAGGAATGGATAAAACATTTGGCAACTGTCTTGCTCAGTTGTTTTCATTCATCCAGTTAGAACTTTTTGACTAATCTTTTTTTCCTGTTTCATGCTTCAGCTTGAAGGAAGACCTAGCTCTGCTTTTGTCTCCTGCTGCTTGATCTGTCTGTGCATACCAGTTCCATTTACTGTTATCTTATTATCTTGTCATTTTAAAATATATTTTTGTTTCTTCTAGCATAAAGAAATCCTTGACTGCTGAAAAACATCACAGTGCTTGGGAGAGTTCAGATGACAGTCGTAACAAGCTGCTGAGAGTAGCATCAACATCTAAATTAATATCAAAAGTGGCAAAGAATGCAGACAAGTATGTATCAGTTTGGTAGATAAAAGCAAGTGAACTTTAGAGTCAAAATTACAAAATTTCATAATTTTAGTAAATTTATTTATGTATATGCTAAGACCGTTTGCATCTTTGCTTTTACCAGGAGTAATTACTTGCATAGCCTGCCAATGTGGAGCTCCAGGTACCTTTGGAATCATAAAATTTTTGTAAAATGTCAATGCAGGATTTGAGTGTAAATATATGTTAATGTTACCCATTCGGGTTAGTGGAATTATGCATTGTGAGTTAGTATTTATGTCTTAATGCCACTGTTGTGAAGCCTACAACCAGTTTTTTACTAATTAAAACTGATTTGAAAATGCAGGTGTATTTCCTTGAAATTAATTTACTGGATTTGACATAGTATGTGTGTTTCTGAAGTAGACTGTATTAGTAGGAATATAGTTTTATGATTTCAAGTGGGTCTCTCAAATGATCTGTGTAACAGGTTTCTGATTGCAGGTTCTAGATGATAGGCAAGGATCTTCTTTTCAGCTTCACCCCAGTAGGTGATGTGCTGTAGCCCATTGCTTCTCTCAGGCTCTTCAACAGCAGGTTTTCTCAGTTTGTGGTCTCCAGTGAAGGCCTCTCTCCAGTGAATAGCCTGAAGTGTAGTTACTTTTCCTACTCCTGTCAGCACACAGACAAGAGTTTGCTTTTTGCTGTAACTCCACATTATTGAGCCCTATTGGGACCCACGTCTTGTCCTCAGTACCTGTTGCCTGTATTCACACACTTAGTTTCTTTTTTTTTACTTTTTTGAAACTTTGCCGAATCTGTTGATAATTGCTGTGTTGGATTTTTGACTGACCCCCTCGTATTTGCTGAGATACCCCCAGTGTGCTGGCAGCTTCTCCTAGCTTGGTATTGTCTACAAATTTCATATATCTGTTCATTAATCTTCATTCAGATAGCCATTAACTGGTCCAAGAGAACTATCTGAAAACCCCTCTCACTGTGACAAATAAAACTCTTCAGACCTTTCAAAGTAATTTTCACTCTTTTTATGATTGTGTCTGTAATGATCTCCTTAGCTTGCATATAAGGCATACTTAGAGTCAAGAGCAGTGCAAGTGCATTCCTTCTTTCCTAGGAATGGCAAGAACAAAATCATCTTACATTAATCTTGGGTGTGGATATCAGCACATTTATTAAAAGCTTTATGTTTAGCCTGAAGAGCTCTGCAGAGCAGTGAAGTGCTGTGTGTGAGGGATTATGGGTTATGTATTTTGCAAGTATTTCTTTTGCTTTTGTAATTGGTTTTCACTGTTGAAATTTAAAAGCCCTTTGGCAATTTAGATTATTGTAGGGTACTGCTAGATAATATTTTGGAATGAAAAAACCCTCTGTCTTGATTTCTACTTACAAAGGTTCTTGGTTTTTGTTATGCTACTAAAATATCTTTCACATATTCTTCAAATTTTCTAATAATAAAAAATAAATTCTATATTTATTGACATTTTGTATATTGGTTAAGTCATGGTCAAAATAGAGGTATCTTGTTTCATTTTCATGTGATTCTCATTGTTTTCTAAAAGATATTAATGCTGCCCTTCTAGTGTCTAATGTAGAAAAAAAATCAGATATCTAACAAAAGAGCAGACAAGGAAAGATTAGGATTAAAGTTGTCTGTTCACAGCTTGATGTATTTTAAAGCATTTGGCAAAAAACAGAGTCAAACATTATCAATTGTAGACCATCATCTGATTGAAGGCTTGGTGTTGTATTGTTTGTGTACCTTGTTCTTATGTTCAGCTTTATAATAAAGGCACTATTTGCATTCTAGAGCACACATTAATACTCATTTCTTACTCACATCCTGTGTGCCCAATTTATAAAAGAATTTATTATATTGCCATATTGTTATATTGCATTTATCGTTCCCAACTAAGAAACGTTGGCCCAATCTGCCTGAAGTTACCAGTCTTGTGCAAGGGAATAGAATTCAGCCCCTAATGTGGGCCCCAGGACAGAAATGTTTTACATATGCTTTGTGCTACCAGCCCAGGATGTGAACTTTGTTTAGTAAGATCAGTCTTTAAGCCAGCACTGAGCTGTAAATCAGACTGATAAAGCCTTAAGAAGTTAGAGGGTTCCCACGGCAGCCCATCATTCAGTGTTTTTCAGGCAAGACTGGGAATCCAGCTTAAATTTTTCATTTGGCAGTGTGGTGAAGGGTGATTCTACCAATAACCAGAGATGACTTTCCTCATGCATATGCTTGACCCTTTGTCACTGTTACAAAAACTTGACCTCCATCCAGCTAAAAATACTGGATGCCACTCATACCTTCCTGCTGAATTTCAGATGACTTCAAGAGGGCTTTTTTATGCAATACATTCTCCCATCATGGAGTGTTATTCTGGTAAGAAGTAGCTCTGATGCTGGAAATGAGTATTTCTTCCCTCTTCAGGAAAACGGATTGAGATTTTCTGTGCATGGTTCTGGCAGGGAGAGACATCTCAACTGCACTCCTGTGAAGACTTCGTGTTGTACACCCAGTAACGCTACGTGGATTCTGCTTAAATGAAACTGCAGCTTGCTTACATTTAATCCATGTGTCCAACAGGGTTAATTCCTAGAAAAAAATGTGTTGTTGTGTGCTGACAACTTATTTTGACAGGTGTTAAATGCTTTGCATGCAGGCCTGAGGGTGTTTGGCAGCTTAAAACATTGGGTTATTACAAGTTTGCTCTTTCAAAATGGAATTTTCTGTGCACAAGGAATATGCCCTCCATAATTTACTTTTAAGAGCTTTTTGTATTTTGTTGTTATCAAAGTAATTCTTAGGAACCTTTGCCACAGGGCCAAAGACTTTAAGTTACTCAAAAGATACAGCGAACTGCATAAAATAATATATGGGTAAAAATGCACTTTGATGACCAAGATTAGTTACTTAACATCCTATACTACAGTTGCACTGTACACAGAATCTGATGAGATTGCCAAATGCAGTAATGTGTAAGAACTGAATGGTATTGGCTTGATAAGTGTTTCACATATTATTAACAATATTATTTTTAATTTTTTCCCAGGCACAAAGATGTCATCATCAGCCAAGGTAAATAAAAACATTTATTTTTAAATACTGGATGAGGTTGAAAAGATTTGCTTTTGACTGAATAGTATTTCTTGTAAATAAATACACTGGGACATGTGCTTATGAAACAGGGATACAGAGCTAAAATAGCATTAATATTTACTACAAGAATTCATCTGGCCAAATGTTACTCAAGACCTTAATTAGGATCTTTGAAATAATGGAGAAATGCCTCATCAGGTTGGATCTTTAGGAAGGACAGGAATTTTTGGTGGGTGGTGGGAGGATTTGTTTTAGTTCTGTGAAACCACCTTTTTTTATTATCTTCTCTGTGCGTATGGTGCATGTGTATGCATAAATAGAGAGAAGTGATGGAAACAAAAATCTAGAGTTTTGACCTATGTGCCAGTCTTCATCCAAGCAGGTGTAAGTGAGACTTTAGAAATAGTTTTAAGATATTTTATTTCTGTCCCATAACCAGCAAAAATGTCAACTCGTGAAAAAAACAGCCAAGGTAAGAATTAAGCTATGCCCTTTGGTCGCTTCCTAATTTAGCGCTCTCACGAATCTTTTATTTGGCTTTTCACCATCAAAGAGCATCAGTGCATGATCTTTTAAAAATGTTGAGTGTTTAATATATGCATATGCACATTGCAATCTGTGTGGGGATTATTTGGGGGTAGTCTAAAATAAATTACTACACTCGTAATTTCCTCAGAGAGGAATGTGTGTTCAAATAAGATTCTAGAAGTCTTGCATTGTTGCCTAAGATATCAGAATATTAAGAACTGCCAACTAAAAGATTGTTTTTATCTCAGCTTTCTGTCTTGCCAATATTACAACATATATGCGCTGATTTGATAAGAACAGAGACTGAAGGTTTTAATATAGTCTCCTAAAATGAAAAATGAGTCTCTTCTAAAGTGTATGTCTTTGCACCGGTGAACCTTGCATTCTGTGGCTACCTGCTGCTACTGCCTTGTACTGACAGGAAAAGGAGCCATCTTTCTGAATATGGTGGGGTGTGACAACAAAAGAAATCCACTTCTTGTGTCGCAAACTAGTCTGCCTTGATGTCCTGCAAACTGTACTGAAGCATGCAGTTTCAAAACTAAAGCATGTAACCCAAGTGCATGCTGTACACAACATATATCTATGTACAGAGGTTCTGTCTTGTGCTTTTTTGCTGCTAATTAACAAATCTGTAGTCTCCAAATTCTGTGCTGTAAGCAAGATTGCATTATACACAGTTTGATTACTTTCGATCTCCTCTGGATTTTCTTTCAAAAAGAAACAAACCCTCAAATTTTATGGAAGTTAATATATGAATTGTTGTAATGAAAGCAAAATCAACTTGAATCCAATTGCTTTATCTTTCTCTAATTCATAGAGAAATTACAGATTTAAAAATATTCTAAACTGATGCTTACCAAAGCACATTTCAAAGACAAAAGGGGTGAAAGAAGGTGCATAAGCATCCGGAACAAAGAATAAATGTTTCTTTATGCCAGGTTGCTTAACACCAGCTGTGGAACAGTATACATCTGCAACAACAGTTAATGTAAAAAGAAATCTAATCAGTAGTGTCCAGACCAGCTGCAATTTAGATTTGCACGAATTAACTAAAACTGTTACATTAAAAATACCCTTCTTATGAAACTCAACTTTTCACAAAAACAAGTTGCATACAGCTAAAATACCTTCAATGCTAATCCTTTCCTTACAATATCCTTCTACAATTCCATATATTCTGCACAGAATGGGCTGTCCTTTAGTTCCCTCATTCTGGTATCTGTAACTTCATGGCCTCAGTGTGTACTTGATCTGCTCTGTCGTGTGACTCTGTAGATGATGGGAGCTTTTGGGTTACTACCATGCGTGTCATGCCATAGCCTGTTCTGAGACCAACTGGAATGGAAGAGAAATATGATGCGTAAGCAATGGACCCACATATATGGAAGATAGAGAGAAAGTCTTGTCATAGAACATGCATTTACTGACGTTTTAAACACGTGTAGTGGCAAAACATCATTCTGCCTTTAATTTGGATGAAGTGGCGAGTAGCAGGATTCAGCCTCCAAAGACTAGTTTTTTTTATATATAGACCAACAAGTATATTTTTTGAATAGCTTTTCGTGTATGTGCCTGTGTGTATGTGTGTGTAAGGTGTGTTAGGTTTTGTGTTGTGTAGTTGCAAAGGGTCCCCCCATCCTTCCCAGTATAAGCTTGGCAATACTCAGCCAGTTTTCTGTAGTGCAATGTACTGCTTGGGGCAGGTGACTTCAGCCTGTTTTGTACTTGATAGTTGCCACATAAATAAACCGATTTCCACTTGGCACCTTGACCTACCCAGTCAGAACACTGCACAGACAGTGAACATGGTTTCTGGAGGTGAGTCCTGTGCAGCTGGACAGAGTTGTCCTGGGCAGGGTGGGATGAAGGGCAGCCTTTATTCACGCCATTCATACAGAACCTTGCTGTCCTGCAACCCAAAAGCATGAAAAGTTGCTGCTGCTTTAACACACTCCTTTGTGGCTTTCCAGCCTTTGCCTCTAGAGATGAGCGGTCTCTCACATGGTGTTAATTAGGTTACAGCAGCTCTCCCGAGCTGCTCACATCGCTGAACTGTAGGTGAAACTGCATATGCCCTGGCATGCACCTCCCACGCTAACAATCGTGTCAGTACACTTCCTAGAAATTGTGTGAAGGAGACTCCTGGGAAGACAGCTGGTGTGCAAACTGTCAAGCTTCAAAGCAAATCTCTGTAAAAATACCTCAGTGTCTTTATAGATGCATAAAATAAGTTTGGAAACGCAGTGAAATTACAAATCATCATAGCAGAAGGTGTTTGCATGGGATAATAGGAGGGAAGGTGACCATTCTCTGTAGCTTTGAACATCCTAGAATCATTTATTTCCTTTTTTTGATTTAGCTATTAAAGAAACTGCTTTGGAACATGTTGGTGTAGTACAGCACCACCAAATGTAGCGAAAATGTTTTTGCATGTTTCATTCTTGGAATCTTATTTTTCTAGCACTAGAAGTTAATGCAGCATCTATATTGTGACCATCTGTGCATGTTCGTTGTGATTTCTGTTGGCAGTATGTATTAGCCATGAAAGTGAAAAGACTTGAGGAGCAAGTGGGAATCTTAGGTGAGCTTCAGTAGTGAAAGGCATTAGCTTTGATGTCCAAATTGGCATTGATGTAGGGTATGGAGTCCCCCAGAGGGTGTGCCACAGGTATTGCATCTAAATGTCAACAAGACCTGGGCAATCCTCTTCTGCCAGCCGCAGCGTGGGGAGCCGTGGCCGGCAGCTGCCTTGCGGGCAATCACTTGGGTTTCCTCTGCTCAGCACTGTGCCACGGCCAAGCATGTTCCCACTCTTCATCACGTACCTTGTATCTCAGTACCCAGTCTTGTTCCCTCACTGCCTTTATCTCCTACTTGGGCTGAGTTGCATCCACTCCACGTTAAGGTTAGTCCTGAGCTTTATGCATCTGGGTATATGCTGCAGCAGAAGTAATACAGACAGGAATACCTTGGTGATGTCAATCCAATGAGGGAAATGTTATGCACACTTCCATACGTTTGCTGAAGAGATTTTGGGGTTTAGGTTTTTCAGCTTATTTTTGAACATTTGTTTGCTTATCCTTGTAAACCAGGACAACGTTTTTACAATAGAATCCAATACTAAGGAGGTAGTAAAATTCTGTGAAAATCCAATAAAGGTGTGGGTGAAATGAACAGGTGCTTACTATAGTCTTAAAAGGACACTAGCTGAAGTTATTCCTTTAAATTCTTTACCAGCAGGTGTTTATAATTGCCTATAAAAACCATCTTGCTTTTCACTTCAGCAGAGACATTTTTAAATATTAATCAAAGCATTCATGGTTTTATACCCAGAAATTAGACCTGGCTTATTTTAAGATAAAAGGTAATTTTTTTCACTGAGATTCTATGTTTGAGTTTGGTTTTCAGTGATAGCAGCTCCATATGTGAATCACTTGTTCACTTATTATAAAGCAATAAGAGACACTTAGTCATTTTCAGATGGCAGTAAAAACCATATGTGAAAGAATTAATGAAAAACATTCACTGCATTCCTAACTTTCTTTCTTTTTCAGATTGTGCTTTATTAGTTTCCAGTACTTTGTCTGCTCTTAGTTTAACTGTGCTATAGTTCTAGCTTCACAGAATGGGGCAGTTGTGAAGCACACAGTGGAAAAATTTACCCTGCTGCCAGTGTGTCCTGTCCACCGAGAGTGCAGAATTCAGTAACTACCTCAGATCATTTTTTCATCAGACAGATGTTTTCTGTCAGATGCTTATTGAAGGTGTTCACGTACCTGAGGGCAAATGGAGACCCGGTCTATCTCATTATTATTGGGCTGCTTGCTCTTATTCAGGCACAGTGCATATTATTAAAAACCATAGATACTGTCAGAAAAACAAATTTGTATTTGGGAGTTTTTATCATTGATTTTTCGTGAAGTCAGGATTTTATTATTTAAGCAGGAAGCATTTAGATACAATCTTATTGAGCTTGTTTGTGTCCGATACTCCTTTTTGAGTCCTTTCATTTTTTTAATAAAAAGCTAGATTTTATACTAAACTTGAGTTATTTCAATGCAAATGGTAACTGTTGTTAATGCCCAGATTCCTAATGTCACCTGGTACATGTGAAACCAGTGTTTTAACTGTGATTTACTTACCAAGGTATATGAAATTAATAACCAAAAATCTATTCATAAGTCACAAGGCAAAGATGTAAAATCATTCCAAACTGAGGCAAATCTCTTGTCTCATCTGCTTTTTCCAGCTGTTTGGTTTGCATTGCACCAGTTCTCAACAGCAACAGTGCATGTCCGCTTGTCAGGTTCAGCAGGCATTGACACAGCTCCGGGTGAGAGATGTCAGACCAGCAGCCGCATCTTAATTCCACTGTAACTTAAAATGTAATGGTCTGTGCATGGTGGCTGAATTTGGCTGTATTCTTCTCTGTGCTGCTAGCACTGGTTTAAATTAGAAACAGGCTTCTAAGCCTTTGTCCCTCAGGTTAGTGGTCCTACAGAGTTGTTGGACACACGCCTGAAAGCAGAAAGCTTGTGGGAAAGAAGCTATTTGTAGTATTAAAAAGTATAACTTCACTGGTCAAGCAACTAGAAGGTGAAGACAGATTAATAAATGTACTCTGGATGTGGTAGTTTATTGTATATTATTAGAGAGTTCTACTTGGCCAAGCTAGTTGGAGTCTTTTGGGGTTTTTCATTTGCTTGTAAATCACTTTAAGGGTAAGATTCAGATGCTAAATACAAGTAGAACTGAGCTGAGGGTTTTGATGCATCAGTCCATGTTGCTCTTTCAAACTAGATGGGGTAGGACCTATTGAAAATTAGTCACTAATAATTTTCAGGATAAGATTATTGTGATGATTCCTTAAGAATTTAACTTACAACCATGTAGAAAATTAGATAATTTTGTTATTTATTCATGGCTATCTACTCTGTGTGT